TTTCAGCTATTACCCACCTGATATCAGCAATGATATCTGACCCTCTTATTAATTAATGCTTCCATGAAAAAGAACAGAGTTAAAAGATGTATCCATTAGCCATTATGTACATTACCGTGAAAGTCATTTACATCACCTCATGCATAATTCATTCATCATAAGTGTTATTTTTATTAGACACTGGGGACTTGGTTCCGACTCATAGCAACTTTCTGTACATCAGAACAAAACACGGCCTGGTGCTGTCTTTACAATTTTTTGTTTCCTTTTAGCCTTTTGTTGCAGCCACCCTGTAAATCCATCTCATTGTGAGTCTTCCTCTTTTTCGTTGACACTCTACTCACCCCCCCCTCGCCCCCCCATAATTAGATTTCCCACCATTTATTCTTATTCTTATTTGTTTTGGTTTGGTTTTTGTTCTGAGGTACCTGTGGCTGGACTTGGACCGCAAGCCTTCAGTTAGCAGTCAAGCAGTTACCCATTTACACTGCCCAGAGAGCCAAAACTCACCTAGTGGCTATTGAGTTGATTATGACTCCAGTAAGCCCATCGGACAGATAAGCACTGGGCCCGTGGGGTTTCCAAGGCTGTAAATCATTATTTGCAGAAGCAGACTACCATATCTCCCACTGAATGGCTTGTGGCTTCAAACCAGCAACCTTTTGGATAGTAGCTGAGCACTTAACCACGGCACTACTAAGCTCTTGTATCCTTTTCAGGGACTTCCTTAAAAAACATGACTTCTCTGAAACCCAGGATGGTGATAAGTTTAGCCAGAGGAAGGTCATCTCGAAATAATGTCTTGATGACGCGATGAAAACACTTTAGAAGTCTCTAATACAAACAAACCAAAAATCAGGTAAACTCTAAAACTAGCACTGTACCATACACAAATGCCTTTCGCGTTTGCTCTTGGCCATCATGCTCTTGCCCAATGTTGCTGACAACTTGATAGAACTCCTTAGCAGTCTTTTCTCTCTGTACCATGGCTCTATTTATTCATACAAAGCATGGAACATAGTAACCTCCTCCCCCACAAAAAAACCCCCACACAAACAAATATGGCAACAACGAAAAAGCAAACCCATCGCCATCAAGTCAGTTCTCGCTCATTGTGACTCTAGACAACTGAGTAGAATTGCCCCCTTTGGATTTCCAAGACTGTAAATCTTTACAGGAGCAGGCAGCCTTCTTTCTCTTATGGAGTGCCTGAAAACTTTGAACTGCTGATGTTATAAGTGTCCAAAGATAGTTATTGAACAAATCCTTCTGAGGAAAAATCCTTAATTTGTGCAGAAATCAAATAGGAGCCTTGTCAGACCTCCTTTAATTCCACAAAGGAAGAGATGAATCCACTCCACATCCCCTCAAGGCTGCTTACACCTGAGAGAGGTCAGACATCTCTCCAACCTCTGTCCTTCTTGACCATCATCTGACACTAAGCCTCCCCCCCTCAGCAATCTACTTTTCTTCTAGGTCTGAAAATTCTTGTAACGGCCACATGGAATTCACAAGCATCACCACCATTAGGGAGTTTATTAGAGAAGCTAATAGGTTACAAAATATTAAGATTAGAGTTATTTTGTACACAACACTCCTTCTCAACCATGTTGGCAGTCATGTTTCTCTGTAGTCCTTTGCCTCTCCCTCACGTGGTCCTTTCATCTTTGCCCTGCCTGTGGAAATGCTACAAAGCTCCTTCAGCACTGTTAAATATCCCACAGGTACCCTACTCTTCCAGACAGCCTTCTGCCCCAAACACTCAGCTTTACTCCTTCCATGGGGCAAGAAGCCCTCTGCTGGGAGTCACTGCCTCCAAGTGATTCCTTTGTTCTTTCCACTGGTTTCTGCATGGCTCTTCTGCTGCTGCCTCGTGATTGTGGTGTTATGGCCTCTGGTGCCTCTGGTATCTCCACCACTTTAGATAGGGATCTTGCTTGTGATCCATTGTTGGGTCTGTTTTCTATGTTTGTTTGTTTCTCTCTCTTACTGCTTCTGAGATGGCTCACACTTTTATACCCAGTGGAATGACAGAACTGACCAATTCCTTCTCAGTGTTGCACACCCCTTATTTGCAGGATCGAACCCAGTCATTTGGTGGGGGTTACAGAGATATGGATAGAAGAGCTATTCCAAGTGATTTCACATCATCTCAATTTAGTAACATACAGACTTGTGCTATTTGAGGAAATTAGTAATTTATTCAGGAAGACTCTGATATTGAACTAGATGGTGACCTTGAATTGCAAGGAGTTCTAAGAATGTTGCCGCCTACTTGATGCTCTCTCCAGGTTATAACCAGAAGCAAAAAGACAACTCAAAGCTTTCAGAAGTTTGCCTACAATACAGCCTTGTGAATTGATTTTAGAAACCTCATATCCTAAGGGTGTTTAGGATTAGTAGATTCTCCACACCAGTTTTCACTCTATTGGGGAAAACTAAATTATTTGCCTGAAGGGATTTTCAACTTCACCTTTCAGAGGACTGAAGTCATAATACTTTTAAGCCAGAGCCAAGGGGGAGAGAAAATGGAGGGAAGTTGTCCTAATTTGCTACCTAGGAGGAAGGACAAAGTGTTTTGTGCTAATGTGTATAAAGTATCTAAGTGTGAGATACCATAATGAATGCTTTCTTTTTCTTCTGTGGGCCAAGAAGGAAAGCTTGAAGTAACTGTCAACAGTAAATTCTATGTAGGATTTCAGGGCAGTTGTTTTTGACATCTACCCATTTGATTTTAATGTAACTGAAATGCAAGAGGAAGTATTCAACCTGGTATGCCACTTAAGTTTCCTTGGTAAGATGATTACCCTCGCTCTCTTTTTTATTGTTGTGGAAGTCACATGTAACCAAAGAGTGATAAAGACGCTAAGACCCAGCAGCCTCTGTGCAAAAATAAGAATAAAAATGTTGAACTTTCAGAACAAATTTAAATGGTTCATTGACTTTGTTTCACCATGGGAAAACTACTTAAACTCCCAGTGTCAGTTTGCCCATCTGTGAAATGAGAAGGATAATATTTCCTGATGGGGATGTTTTGAAAATTATTTTTCAAATGTGGTGGATGGCATTGTTGCAAACATTGCTCTGTTTGCCCACTTCTTTAAAGGAGCAGACTGCATTGTTTATGTACCAGTTGATAGTTAATATTCCATCTGGTTTGAATGATGTACATTTATTAGTGTTTATGTGCTTTGTATTATTTAAAGCATCACCTCCACCCCCACCCCCTGCCCCACCAGGTTGTCAATATCAGGGGCACCAAGCAAAATATCCAAAATGATTCTGAGCTTCCTATTTAAGAGCTGCTAACCGGATGCTTCTGGTAATTGCTTCTTCTTTCTGGTTTAGCTCAACTTTTCTCTGATGTCATTTTTTTTTTTTGCCCCACCTCCCTTCACAAGATTGATAGTTCTCCATGTTTTCTCTGCTAAAGGTCACCTCTGAGCTGAAGGCAAAACACATCCTACTCTGGCTCCTGTTGACTTTCAAGTCAACGATCAAAGAATCTATTCCAGACATCTCCTAACCTCAATTAAAAAACTCCACCCTAAAGATTACTGGGAGATATCCTGGGGAGCTGCCATAGTGACTCTAAGAGTTTGGCATGGACGAGACAAAGCTCCTGATATCAGATTCTTTATACTTGATAGGCTTAATTATGTAATGTGGTCATGAACCTCTGTGCTTGTGTCATTGAGGTCTGGAAAGAAATTTCCCCCTTCAGGCTCTTAAGATGCCAATCAACAGGCTTCTTGGTAATAAGATTCCTTACGCCCATAGCTCTAGCATAACCTCAAGTGGTGCTTGTAGTAATGATAGAACCATTACAAAACTAAAGAAGAAAAGAGGAATATATTCCATGGGTGTGATTAAGTCATCATAATATTCTTGCATATGTAAATTATCCTTGACTTAATGAACTACCTTGCTCACATCATAGTATTTTAACTTGACTCTAGCAACCCATTTTTTACCTGTACTGATCATTGACAGTAGCTTAAATGGAGCTCATTCCCAGATCTTCCTGCAAAAGTGGAATTCATGTATTTTATTTGTTTTTTTCTGTGTGCATTGATTTAGTGCCTGGATTTACTATTAAAAGTGTACTTATTAAGTGAAGTTATTACATAAATGACTTTAATAAATTAGCATAGTACTTAGAAAGATAAAACCTGATTAGGTACTCATATATTCAAATTGACAAGGGTCATTCAACATATATGTGTATATATGGAATATATAATTTCTCTTTATAAAAAGAGTATTAATTCATTGCAGAAATCAAAGGAAGGCAACTATATCTATCTACCTAACCTTAATCACTTGGATTAGACCAATTACTTTAAGATTTTGATGCATATTAAAACAGATGAAAATATTATAAAGGATATGCACATTCTTTTATCCAATATATATATTATTTAAAAAAATAGATGCACCTACAAGAAACCTTGGCAGAAACATTTTTTTCCCTTTTTCAGAAATTATGTATAAAATTCTAGAACTTATATTGCACTGACTTTATTTAGAATCATAAAAGCAACCAGGGATGTTTTTATGTAACCTCCACTGCTTTACCATACTCTCAAGCACAATTCATCTAAATTTATTCTAATGTCTTATCTTCAAAGGTGATCTGGTGCAGTACAATACAGTTAGTGAAAGGTGAAGGCAAATGAATGACTCTCATTCTACTATTTGATGAATGACTCTCATACTACTATTTGAATATAAATTTTAATATGCATTTAGGAGGAGAGGCCAGTTCTCTAGAACAGGTAAGGAAGTATAGATAGAGTATAATGGTATGTCGATGCTGTTATCCTCTGATGGAGAATTCTTGGTGAATTTTTCAACGTTTTTTAATGTATACTTAGGTTGTTGCTGTTTGGTTGTTTAATAGTTTGTGTGTGAGGGTGTGTGACTGTGAAAAGCTAAGTCCAATGTGGATTCGAAAGATCTTGAGGGAGTTAATCAATTTATAACTTTCATTTCATTAGCCTTTTCCCTCATCCCCTTTTAGGCAGCCAAGGGCAGTTTCCACTGACACAGAACGTCACGGTCATTGAAGGCGGAACTGCAATTTTGACCTGCAGGGTTGATCACAATGATAACACCTCCCTCCAGTGGTCAAATCCGGCTCAACAGACGCTGTACTTCGATGACAAGAAAGGTGAATGTACTTTCTTTCTTTTTAATCCTATTCGGAAATACCTAATTATAAGGAATTTATTTTTCAGAGATGATTCAAATTATTCATTTTGATGAACAGCCTGCTTCTGCTTGTATTTAAACACGTTAAATATGAAATATTTTACTTTGAAAGTCACAAACACTAACGATAGCATATGTCAACTTTTTAATAAAATAAAGAGTTCTGATTTTGTTCCAAAAATAGTCTTATGCCTTCTCCCAAACAACCTATTTCTTACAACTATTTTAGGAAAGTTCATAATTTCATTCTCATGAACTGAGTTTGACAATGAGAGTTCTAGAAAGGACCCCTGTAATGAAGTGTGTGCTTGGTGCCATAGAGTCAGTAACCAAAACTTTGTAAACTAAACTGAAATGTAGAAAGATTGATATTTGATTGAAGTCAATGCGCACTTCATCAATTAGCAGGAACTTGTATTGGATGATAAATGATATTTTATTTTACTTTTCTTTAGAGAAATGAGACAATTCACATTATATCATTCAAGAACACATTCTAAACCTGTACACTGTATTTCTAAGTGTTCACTATTATTTAACAGGTGGTGAGATATCTGCCTTTCAGCTATTATTAAAATATCAAGCTATTGATTTAAATAAAGTAAACGGATATAGGATATAAATATCTATTTAGATATCAGCTTTACATCTTACTCTTAAAATCTGTGAATCTGTTTTAAAAATAATAAAATAATTTGAAGTCTTATCTTTACATTAGAAATATAGGTCAAAGTACAGTCTAGTAAATCTCATCTAACTTGATAGTAAATATGAATTTACTATATTTGTGCACGGCATGGATTTCATTCTTTAATATAATTGTAAATTGTATCTTTGTCTAATTGTAAATATGATCTTTATTTTAAAATTTTTAACACATAATAAAGGCTTGCTCAGCTATGTATACATTCCTTTGACAAATATTTGAAGACTCCACTGTTACCTAACAGGTTGGTGGTTCAAACCAACCACCTACTCAGTAGGACAAGGATGTAGCAGTCTCCTTAGTTAAAGACTTACAGTCATGGGAGCTCTTCAGGGCAGCTCTAGTTTGCCTTCAAGCTTCATTATGACCTCTTCAGTACTGAGGTTTATTTTGGTTTGGTTCTACCAGGCATTAAAGTCCACACAGGAAAACCATTCCTGACTGTAAAGTTTAATTGGGGAGACAAACAATAAGAAAGCATTTGAACAAAATACATTCTAGAGCATCTTTGTAGAGAATAAGTGCTATGGATAAAAGTGAATTAGAGGAGAGGATTCAAAATCCCTTGCAATTCTGTAGTGCTTCATTATTTACAAAGGGTTCTTATTTGCACCATTTTCTCATCTCAGAGCCAATAAGAGTAGATATCACTAAGGGGCACAATTACACGTACACATATGGGTGAGAGTTAATATAGGTCACATGATTAAGATGGAGGAAGCCAGACTAGAGCCAATATTTAAAGTCCATATTCATGTTTTGACTTTGATATTTGATACATAACCATTCTTGTTTAACAATGATTAATGGCTATAGAATTTTTTTATTGTGTAGTTTTATACCTAAAATTGTTTTAAATAACTTGAAAATAAATTTCAAAATATTCACCAGCTACACACAATCTTAGTTTTAATATAATTTAGACCCTAAAATCTTTTCTAGTTAATGTTAATGATTACTATTTCCAATGAAGAATTTTTTTAACTCATTATAGACGTTTGAAACATAATTTATGAGATTATAAAGTGGTTCTTTTTTTTTTTACACAGAAAATGTTTTTATTTCTTTTTATTTTTTTTATTTTTCTAGGTTTCACCTGAGTGTAATTTTTTAAAAATCATTTTATTAGGGGCTCATACAACTCTTTTCACAATTCATACACACATCAATTATGTAAAGTATAAAGTGGTTCTTTGCTAGGACAAATTACTAAATTACTCATGTGAATTATTAAAACCGTAAAAAAAAACAAAAAGTATAATTCAATAGCAAAAGGGAAATTTTATGTATTAACTACCTAGAATTTTCAAAACTCCAGTTCAATCTACTTTGTATTTCAGGTCCATTCAATGAAATTAAAAGTGGCATTGGTAGAAAATAAAGTTTGAAGACTTTTCCTATTTTCCAGCAAAATTTACTACTACTATCTAAACAATTCTGATATTTTATAGATTTATATTTTGTTCTTAAATTTACACATGCCTATGGATTGAGAAGGCACATCTTGCAGTTAGGGATGTGCAGTTAGCACATCTTAAAATCCTCTTGTAGGTATATTTGAAGAGGTTTATTTATTTGTTAACCATAATTATGTTGCTTTCCTAAGACTGAAAGGCTATCTATAGAATGAATTTCTATTAATGAAAATAAGCAAAGACAATCATATAGAAGCAACAAGTCATTCATAGTGCCTCAGTTTTTAACTTTTATTATTTATACATTATAGATAAATGTGAATCAATGTTTAAAATAATTAAGCTGAGATATAAGATATTTTAGCAGAATATCTCATTTCCACAATTATAAAATGAAAATAAAGGTGTTTGGGGGGACAATAGGCATTTCAGGGCATTCATAAAACACTAATATATATTTATATTATTTAATCTACAGACTTGATTAAATACACAGTTAAATAATATAAGAAATAATAATGAAATAGTTCTTCCCTGCTGTAAAAGAAACAACCTGGTTTAACAACACTCTTTGGAAGCCTATAGTGCTATTAGTGGAAACTATCTCAAGCTTTATCTAGGTATTTTTATAGCATTGGCGTGCTCATTTTGTTCATTCATCGGGCAGGAGCATCATAATGATCTCCCCTATGTAACCACTGCTAATGACATCTCTGGGAGTCCTGTTTACAGTGACCCCTGCAACAGTGAGGTCTGATCCCCAGACACGGTAAAAAAACCTATGTTAAAGGTCTCCGCTCTCTCTTTTAGTGACTGTAAATTATCTTCTTTGAAATATCTAAAACTAGAATTGACTAGACTAGAGTTATTTCAAATAATAAAGCTTCCTTGTAGAAAAAGAGGGTGTCTTGGATTCACAAATACACAAGAACTTGAATATGAGGCAAACATCCTTGCGAAATCACCGTGTTTCACATTAGGATATATACAATATATTCCTGCATCTTTATACCACCACAAAATGCCAAATATGTCTGCTCATGTTGTTGAATTGTTTAAATATGCATTTGCTTGGTTTAAGTTTCCTTTTCAATTTCTACCACAGCTTACAGTTAGAATTTTTAAACCTAGTGTTTTTTAATGTTGATAGTATTATAAGTTCTATTGTAGATAATAAACATGTCTAACTCTACCATGGTTCTAATTGTCAATAGCAACAAAATAATGCAAAGTATAGATTAAAGGACTATTTTTATGAATGGCAAGCTCCTTGGATGGTGTTAACAGTTTTCACTTGACGAGTAAAAGATGGTAGGGTCAAGAGCACACCCATAGGCACCCAGGAAGAAAGTGTTAGTGTTCACCCTCCATACAAGTGATAGCCAAAAAATGTACATTTAAGTTTGGATATGGGGTCTGTAACATATGGGGTCACTATCGGTTGGAACTCATATCGGTTTCATAAATGGCAATTCGTTATTCCCACAGAAGTATAAAGTTCACTATCTAGATAATGTTCATCAAATGCAAGTGTCTGAAAATGGAAGCGATGTTTAAAGGTTCCAAATCACTATTTTGCCCACACTGTCTTTTTGCTTGTTTTTGCCTACCTACCTCTCCTCAGACCCTTGGTGACCTTGAATAAACAGTTTGTCAGGTTGTCCCAAGGCTTAAGTGCAGAAGACAATCATGAGTCTTAATGGCCACAGTAACTTATACCTCTTTTGCAATAGCGTCTCTTCACAAGAACACAAAAGAAAATGAATGCCTTCCCTATTTCACTTGAGTACACTAACCCCTAGCAGAATTCACTAACGGTGAAGATCTTACCATAGCTTCTCATGTTGCCAATGTCCCCTAAGTCTAACTATAGAGTTAAATCATCTCAGGAGTTTTTCAAACTGGATCTTCCAAGTGCATGGTTATCAGAACGCTTAAGGTGTTCCTTGAATCCTTTTACAATGCAGCTAGAGTTGAGGATATCTGGGTAACAGCCATTTCTTTTTTAGTTCTGTATCACTAAATTTGGATTCTTTACCAAGATGGGTAAATGGGAGAGAGAATGAGGCAGAGAGAGGAGAAGGAAAAGAGAAGAGAGAGAAGAAGAAAGGAGGGAGGGAAATGGAGAGGAAGGAAGTGTGATCCGACTGAAAGAACACGTGCTTTCCCACATTGTCATTGCTGGGAAAACTTTGAGCTTCAAGAAGCATCTTGGTATTGGGGTAGCTGAATCAGAGTCAACTCCAAGACCTTAGTTTGTTTTCGTTTTTGATGGGCATGGAGGCGTGGGGGTGGTTAGATACTATTTGACAATTCAACTCTCTAAGAGTTCTTTCTGTGAAGATAAACAAAGAACTCAAGATGCCAGCTCATTGGTCTTAATGAAATTGAAAACGCTTTGTTTGTTTACTTGAAATAATTAGCTAAGGAAAAGCATGTGGTAAGTGGGTATTTGATGATCAACTAAATGAGGATTAAGCTGAATTTAGGAAGGTTGAATTGAGTCACTTTACATGGGACATAGGTGTCCTATGGATGAAATTGATCAAAGTGAAAATAATCTCGTCCTATATTTCACTCAGTGTATTAGTCCAGTTGACTAGAGAAGCAAATCTAGTGATGCTCATACTCATATCTGTATAAGAAAGAGCTTGTATCATCTTGTATCATGAGGCTTTATATATCAAGAAAACATCCCAGCAGAGTCCAACTCAAGTTCACCAGTCTGATACCAGTCAATCAGTCCCTCTCCAGACTCACGCAGTAACAAGCAATGATGCAGAATGCAGGGGGATCACAGGCCAGTGGGGGCAGAGTCTAGTGGATCCAAAGCCAGTG